AGTTAAAAGAAACCTTTTCTTTATCAAGTTAGCCTGTCTCATGTATTTCATTATAATAAAAGCAGACTAATACAACTACATTAATGAGTTAATTACTTTGATTTTTATCTTTTGAAAGCTTTGCAAATTTTAACTTCACACCTTGATGTAGACTCACTTATTTTTGTTGTTGATTTTTATGTAACAACCAGCCAAGTGAGGTTTACTGTGGAAATACAATATTTATTCATTACTAGAAAATAAATATAATGTATTGTATTAATTGTCCTTATAAAAGTACATAATCATAACACTTTATTACAAAAGATTTGGTAAAATTAAGTATCCTCTCTTCTTTTATTTTTAAAAATTTTTTTTAAGATTTATTAATTTATTTGAAAGTCAGAGTTACACAGAGAGAGGAGAAGCAGAGAGAGAGAAAGAGAGAGAGGTCTTCCATCCACAAGTTCACCCCCAATTGGCCGCAATGGTTGGAGCTGCGCCGATCCAAAGCCAGGAGCTTTTTCTGGGTCTCCTATGGGGGTGCAGGGGCCCAAGGACTTGGGCCATCTTCTACTGCTTTCCCAGGCCATAGCAGAGAGCTGGATCAGAAGTGGAGCAGCCAGGACTAGAACCGACACCCATATGGGATTCTGGTGCTGCAGGCACAGGCTTAGTGCACTACACCACAGTGCCAGCCCAAGATGTGCTTTCAATTCACTTTTCAATCACAGGCTTAATTCACCACTAACCATAATATTCAACAAGTAAAAAGTAGGAAGACACGGTTGCTTAGGAGTACAAACAAGAGCTAAAGACAACAACAGTATGACAAAATTGTCTGTTTCATTCCTATACATTTTTTGGTATTCCATATTAAATGCCACATATCGGGGCCGGCACTGTGGTGTATCTAGTAAAGCCGCCGCCTGCAGTACTTGCATCCCATAAGGGCGCCAGTTCAAGTCCCGGCTGCTCCACTTCCAATCCAGCTCTCTGCTGTGGCCTGGGAAAGCAGTGGAAGATAGCCCAAGTCCTTGGGCCCCTGCACCCACTTGGGAGACCTGGAAGAAGCTCCTGGCTCCTGGCTTCAGATTGGCACAGCTCCAGCTGTTGTGGCCATCTGGGGAGTGAACCAGTGCATGGAAGACCTCTCTCTCTCTGCCTCTCTTCTCTCTGTGTAATTCCGACTTTCAAATAAATAAAAAAAATTCTAAAAAAAAATTAAATGCCGTATATCTGAGAAAACATGTAGTATTTGTCTTTTCAAGACTGGCTTATTTCTCTAAGCATCATGGTCTCTAGTTGTAAAATATTCACTCATGTTAAAAACTCTTAGCAAACTAGGAGGAGAAGGAACTTCCCTAACATAAAGAAAGCACCTACAAAAGCCTATAGATTAGACAGAATGCTTTCTTCAAGACTGTGGGGAGGAAGGCAGTTTGGAAGTCTATTCTGGCCATTTCTATTCAACATTGTGTTGGAAATCCTAGCCAGTGCAACAAGGCAAGAAAAGAAACAAAAGGCATTCAAGATTCAAAAGGAACTAGAAGTATCCCTATTTGTATACAACTTGAGAAGGTATTCAGGGCTGGCTGGAGGTGGCAGGCAGGGAGGCCTGTATCTGCTCAGTATCAGTTTCACAGGCCTGGATGTTGAGGAAAGCAAGATTTGCCTATAGATGACTCCTGTAAGGCTGCCCTGGATCTTATGCATCTTGATGAGGGGTGAGGTGATAAGATTAACATAGTTGGGATGCACCAAGTGATGTGCTCTCAGAGCTGGCACAGCATACAGAATATGCCAGAATGGGCTTTTTGTTGCTTATATCAGCTGAGCAGCCTGTTGGACATGACATTCATGTGGATGGTGCACATGCCCACTCCATCTCAGGGCCCAGCTTGGTGTCTAGTAAGTGGCTGAGCTGGTGACAATCACACACTTGGGGCATCAAGGGAGCTGTATCTTGTAGTCTTTGGTGATGCTTCACTTCTTGAGGTTGAAGGCAAAGAAGCCTCCCCTTCCCCAGGAAGCCTTAATGGACTACTTAAATAGCACCGTTGAAGTCTTCCTCTTGCCTGGACTTAGGGGTGAAGCTGGTATCTTAGAGGTAGAGGCATGCGGAGATGTGGGGTCACCCTCTTCCCTGCGAGCATGCCCCCACATCTCCCTGTGATTGGCTCCCTTGGCACCACTATCTGAGAGTGTGGGAGGCTGGTGCAACCTCCTGCTTATTTTAAAATATATACTTTTTTATTCAGAGGCAGACCAGATGGCAATGGTAATGCAGCGGTGGGACACAAGGTTTTTATTCAAGCACAGTTACTTTCAAGCGTGACGGCTTTCAAGCTTCCTAGTTTCCCTTTTCCCATGCCTATTCACAAAGGCAATGCCCTTCCATTCATGCTGTTCTGTCCTCCAAACCTTTACAGGCGCTGCTGCAATTCTCGTGGTCAAGTTCAGTTTTTTCACTGTCACAGCTCCCCTGTTTCTGATCGTTCGTGCATTTGCTTTCATTTCTACCACAGAACTTTGTCCATGTCTCTAATACAAGGACTAATTTGCTGAATTGCTACACGCCTCGGCTAACTGCCACCTCGCTGCCTTTGTTCTGTCTTGAATCGGCTCCTGTCAATCACCAAAAGAAGCAGACCTCTTGGAGAAAGGGAACATGGACAGAAAGGCACTTGGCAAGGCGCACACATCTCTGCATAAACAAATGACCTCTTGTTCTCCAAAGCTCTTGAGATACAGGGAAGAAAATAATTAAGCTCTTCTACTATCTTTGCCTTATGTTACCAACAATACACTCTTGGTCCAAATGCCAGCACTTTGCATTATTATACATCGCAAGGAGCAGAAGGTAAGGGCGACAAGGATTCTTACACAAGTCGCAAAATAGGACCCCCATCGCTAAGAGATTTCCTTCCAATAATGTGGAGCAGACTCATTCCTCCTTTTTCTTCAGTATTTTTCCTTTCCTTCCTCCTCCAGATCAGCGCGGTCCAGCAGAGCCACATACGCGATTTAAAGGCTTTTTTATTTTATTATTTTTTTTTCGCCAGCTACATTCAACAAAATGAACAAGCAAAATTAGTTTGCATAACTTATTTAACACAATAGACCCTAAACATCACATCAATACGTCATCCATACAAAAAAAATTGAGATGTTTTACATTCTTCTTGTGCTGGAAACCTCGTGCTCACTTTACACTTACACAACATCAAATTCCGAGTAGTTGCATTTCAAGGGCCTAATAGCCACCGCATTGCACCCCATGGGTCCGGAATCTCCACCCTAATCCTTGAAGCCAGCAAAGAAAATGGCAAAGGAGGGAATAGTACTAGTTTGGAACCGAAAGGCAACCCCAGGAGGAGGCAAGACCCTGTGTTGTTAAGGTCTTTCAGATAACCTCACCTCACACCTCCGCCCACCACGGGGGCCCAGGCTGGCTGCAAGATAGGCAGAGTGCCAGGCAGCCTCAGAGAAGCAGGCAAGTGCGGGGCGGGGCGGAGGCCCCCCCACCGGGAGGGTGGGCGTGGCCATGGTTGGCGAGGGGCGGAGCCAGAGGAGCGGGACAGGTGGGCGGGGCCCCAGACGCATGCGCACTCCACTTGTTTAAAGCCCCGCCCGCTGCCACGTGTCCTAGCAACCGGGGTCAGAGCCACTGTCTACCCGGCTAAGTATTCTTTCGCGGTATTCCAGTCCCAGCAGCCGGTCTGGGCTGATCTCAGTCCCCAGCTGTCCGTCGTCCTGTCCACTTCTCCCTTCTACTGATTTCCGTTGTGCGTATCCGCTCATTTGAGCGGGTTCCCACAATGAATACTCGCGGTTTCCGTTTGGAAACCAATTTCTGGAGCCTCTGGCCCACCCTTTGTGGCCTGGGATGGCTACTAGGGTTGGGGCTCTTTTTGGGGCTTCAGGCAGCCTGCGGTACCGCTTTCGATCTGCCTGGGACAAGCCCAGAAGATTATTGCGAGTTGAACCTAGAAAACACCTCCTGCAAGGTGAGCACCAGAGGGAGGGAGAGAGATGAGAATGAGAAAGGTTCGGGTAAGGTTATGGGGGCAGACGGGGGCAGGCCAGGGTTGGGGGTTCAACGCCTGAGACTGGAATGCCAAAGCCACTCTTGGTGTGCATCTGACGGTCTTTCTGACTCCCCACTTGGTAGATCTGGATATTTTTCCCCCTGATTTTCTTTATTTCCTAACCGGTTCCTCTACTTTCCTCTCAGCATATTCTCCTCTCTCACAAATCCTCTATTCTCTGTTCCCTCCCCCACCAACTAATTTTCCTCCCCTCTCTAAGCCACACCCCTCTAGGCTCCGCCCCCATAGAAGCCGCCCCTCCTCTCACTGGCCCCGCCCCTCACAGACCACCCCCACAGACCACGCCCCTCACAGACCATGCCCTCTCAGATTTGCCCCGCCCCTCTCATAGGTCATGCCCTCCCACATTGGCCCCACCCCTCCTCACATTGGCCCCGCCCCTCCTCACATTGGCCCCGCCCCATCCTCTCATTGGCTGGACCTCCCATCCCCCTCCCAGTGTCTTACCTCATCACCTCTGTGTGTTCCATCAACTCTGGACTCCCTCTCAGCTCTTCCCTTTCTTCTCCTTGTTGGCTGCCCCATCCACCTCACTCGTTAATAGGCATTTAAATTTGCTCCATGCCTTTTTATGGCTTGATGATTCATTTCTTTTTAGTACTGAATAATATTCTGTTGTCTGGATGTACCACAATTTACTTATCCATTCACCTACTGCAGGACATCTGGGTTGCTTTCAAGTTTTGCAATTATAAATAAACCTTCCATAAACGTTGTGTGGACATGAGTTTTCAGCTCTTTTGGATAAATACCAAGGAGCACAATGGCTAGATTGTATGATGTATATATATTTAGTTTTGTAAGGAAATGCTCAGCTATCTTCCAAAGAGGATGTATTATTTTGCATTCCCAAGGGCAGTGAATGACAGTCCATTCTTTTGAACCAAAATAAAATCGTACTACTAATATACATGTCTTTGTAACCTCCATTTTACTGTTAATAACTCCAACACATCTTGTCTATTATATAGTTCATAGTCAGATTTCTTTAGTTTTCCTCAGAATATCCAAATTAGAATCCAGTCTAGAACCACAAATTGCATCTTATATTCTTTTTTAAAAAAGTTTTAAAGATTTATTTGAAAGGCAGAGTTACAGAGAGGCAGAGGCAGAGAGAGAGAGAGAGAGAGAGAGAGAGAGAGGTCATCTACCTGCTGGTTCACTCCCTAGATGGCTGCAAACAGCCAGTGCTGTGCTGATCCAAAGCCAGGAGCCAGGAGCCAGGAGCTTCTTCTGGGTCTCCCATAGAGGTGCAGGGTCCCAAGGACTTGGGCCATCTTCCACTGCTTTCCCAGGCTATAGCACATAGCAGCCAGGACTTGAACTGGTGCCCATATGGGATGCCGGCACTGAAGGCGGTGGCTCTACCTGCTATGCCACAGTGCTGGCCCCACATCTTATATTCTTATATATATATATATATATTCTTATATATATTCTTTAAAAATATTTATTGAGGCTGGCATTATGGTGTTGTGGATAAAACCACTGTGTGCAATGTCAGCATCCCATATGGGCACTGGTTCATATTTCAGCTGCTCCATTTCAATTCCAGCTCTCTGCTAATGACCTGGGAAAGCAGCAGAAGATGATCCAAGTACTTGGGTCCTGCACCAATGTGAGAGACTTGGAAGAAGCTCCTGGCTCCTGGCTTTGGCCTGGCCCAGTCCTGGCTATTGCAGCCATTTGGGGAGTGAACCAGAGGATGGAAGATCTCTGTCTCTCCATCTCTCTGTGTTAACTCTGATTTTCAAATAAAATAAAATAAATCTTTTTATTTGAAAGAGAGAGAGAGAGGGAGAGAGGGAAAAGAGAGAGAGAGAAGAGAGAAAGAAAAAGAGAAAGAGATCTTCCATATACTTGTTCACTTCTCAAATGCCTGAAACAGCCAAGATTGGGCCAGGCAGAAGTCCGAAACCAGGAACTCCATCTGGGTCTCCCATATGGGGGGCAGGAACACAAGTATTTGGGCCATGATCTATTGCATTCCCAGACACATCAGGGAGCTAGATTTCAATTGGAGGAGATGGTAATTGAACTTCACTTCCGATCCAGCTCTCTGCTATGGCCTGGGAAAACAGTAGAAGATGGCCCAGATGCTTGGGCCTCTGCACTCACATGAGAAATCTGGGAGAAGCTCCTGGCTCCTGGCTACAGATTGGCCCAACTCCAAATATTGCGGCCATTGGGGGGTTAACCAGTGGATGAAAGATCTTCCTCTCTCTCTCTCTGTCTCTCCTCCCGCCTCTATAATTCTGACTTTCAAATAAATAAATCTTAAAAAAAAAAAAAGAAAAACTGATACTATTGGTGCCCTTCATGGAAGTGTGATGTGTGAAGATAGGATCCAGGAGGATGAGAAATTCCCAGAGAAGAATCTTCCATCTACTTGCGTCCTTGCACATTATTTTTTTTCAAGATTTGTTTATTTATTTTAAAGTCAGAGATATAGCGAGAGACAGAGAGGAGAGACATTTTGGATCCACTGGTTCACTCCCCAGATGGCTGCAATGACCAGAGCTGGGCCAAACTGAAACAGGAGCCAGGAACTTCATCTGTATCTGCACTGCAGGTGATGGCTTTACCTGCAATACCACAGTGCTGAGAAATTTCTTTTTAGAAACTTTTGCCTATTCACATTTGTAAGGCTAAAACTGATTTTTGTTGCAGTTACTGAATTTCTGATTAAATTGTATTAAATGCAGATGCAGTTCTCTTGTTTTACAGAGCCATATTAAGGTTATTCATGTTTGTTCCCAAATGTGCTAACATTGTATCCTTTTTTTAATGTAACCTCTGATAAATATGATAGCAGATGTATATATATATGTATATATATATATATATATATATATAGACAGGCAGAGTGGACAGTGAGAGAGAGAGACAGAGAAAGGTCTTCCTTTGCCGTTGGTTCACCCTCCAATGGCCGCCACAGCTGGCGCGCTGCGGCCGGCGCACCGCGCTGATCTGATGGCAAGAGCCAGGTACTTATCCTGGTCTCCCATGGGGTGCAGGGCCCAAGGACTTGGGCCATCCTCCACTGCACTCCCTGGCCACAGCAGAGAGCTGGCCTGGAAGAGGGGCAACTGGGACAGAATCCGGCGCCCCGACCGGGACTAGAACCTGGTGTGCCAGCGCCGCAAGGCGGAGGATTAGCCTAGTGAGCCACGGCGCCGGCCGCAGATGTATATTTTTAAATGCAGCTTATGAGATTTTGGAAAAAGATAAAGTAACTACGCAAGTTACACATTTTTAGTGGTTTAAGAATTCCAACCTGGTAAACTATCAGGAATATAGCTGAGATCCATGGAAGTAAGCAAAAATGTCCCATTGAAAAGCCAGAATAGATGTCATAATGTTCATGTACTCTCTTGCTCTTAGATACTCTTTTACATTTAGTTTTGGCATATCTGGTTATTTGCTCTACAAATGGAAGGCCTACTCTACAGCAGATTGGGGCAAAGGAAGAGGAAAGAGAAAAAGGAAGAGGAGACATAATGACAACGGGCAGCACAAATGAAAGAGATGTAAAAACTTTACAAACAAGGTTAATTTCTTTGATGGGGGTGCAGGTATTCATATAATAATGATGTGGGTAGTCATCTGCTACCATTTAGTTTTTGGATATATATCTCTTCTCACCATTCTTGATCCGTGTGAATGTCAGAGAATCCATGCAGGTGCAATGACTGATTTCCAAAATGACCCTGATTCATCAAGGAAGGTAAATTCTGAGCCTTATATTCTCTTTCAGATAGGAAAGAATGATTTAAAATGATTCTTGTGAAAATGATTGAAATAACACAAGAAAAGCATTTTGTGTAGATATCTTTAATCACCTTCAATTCTCAGCTGAGTTTTATGGATTCCAGGGGCTGCATGAAGCCTCTTATACCTCAGTAATTTGCTGAATATATGTGTTTTTCTGGGGAGAGGGTCCATAGCTCTTGTCATATTCTCAAAGGATTCTATAATTAAAAAATTAAGGATGGCTGAGGTATCTGAAAAATTTATGTATCTAGAGAAACTAATGATACTAGATAAATGAAATGCTAAGAATTTATTGCTATACTGTGTTAAAAATTTATAACTGTTCCAAGTTATTAATTTATAACAATTATAAATTAATAGTAGCAATAAGCCCAGTTACCTTTCAGTTGCTTCATTATGTATTTTTCAAGTGCTAACTTCTTTTATTATGTGTTATTAATGAATGTTCTTTTTTCTTTTAGTCATTAGTGGAAGTATATGTAAACAGATTGGACTCAGTGGAATCTGTGTTACCTTATGAATATGATACGTAAGTGTGGCATGACATAATTGTGTTATGATGTGTCTCAAGGTTTTTTTTAAACATTTACTTATTTGAAAGGCAGAGCTACAGAGGGGCAGAGGCAGAGACATGGAGAGAGAACTTCTATCTGCTGGTTCACTCCCCAAATGGCGGCAACAGCTGGAGCTGAGCTGATCTGAAGCTAGGAGCCACAGCTTTTTCCAAATCTCCCACATGGGTGCAGGGGCCCAAGCAGTTGGACCATCTACTGCTTTCCCAGGCCTTAGCAGAGAGCTGGATCAGAAATGGAGCAGCCGGATCTCAAACCAGTGCCTATTTGGGATGCTGGTGCTGCAGGTGGCGGCTTTATAGGCCCCTCAAGTTTTTTAACACAATGAATGAAAGCCCTGGATATATTAAGCAAAGTCATGATAATTTTATAGTGAAGATAACAAGAAAAATGATTAAAATAAAAAGCTTTCAATGTGAGACAAATGTTTAAAAAAATTAGGAAGCTGTTATACTTGATTTTTTTTTTTTTGACAGGCAGAGTGGATAGTGAGAGAGAGAGACAGAAAGAAAGGTCTTTCTTTTGCCGTTGGTTCACCCTCCAATGGCCGCCACAGCTGGCGCGCTGCAGCCGGCGCACCGAGCTGATCCGATGGCAGGAGCCAGGTGCTTCTCTTGGTCTCTCATGGGGTGCAGGGCCCAAGCACTTGGGCCATCCTCCACTGCCTTCCTGGGCCACAGCAGAGAGCTGGCCTGGAAGAGGGGCAACCGGGAAAGAATCTGGCGCTCCGACCGGGACTAGAACCGGGTGTGCCAGCACCGCTAGATGGAGGATTAGCTTATTGAATCGTGGCGCCGGCCCTATACTTGATTTTTTTATCAGAAAGATAAATTATAAATTTACTACACTTTGGACTGTTAAAAATATCTTTGCAAAGTTGTAGCTTATTTTTAAAACATGGACTAAATAGGTTTATACTAAAGTTTTAATGGATGATCATGCTTAGTTTAGTAGTGTGTGGTTGTTATATGATCAAGATTATGAATGACCCATTATTTTATAATAAAAATAAAGAACATTCTTTTCAGAAGACAACGATTATGATTCTCTTTGGTGTTACTTATTTCCTCTAATTAAGTAGAAATAAATTCAGGACTGATTTCCATTAAAGTATCAGGCATAAATATAGGTGTTAGTATGAATTTTAAAAATAAATCACAGGACTACTATTTATTTTCCATTTAAGCCATTTTATACTCAAATTTACTGATAGTTGTAATTTTTTCACCTAGTAACCTTTTGTGAGTGTGTGGGAACATGTCTGGGGGGACTTTGTTCTTTGTTTCTCTTTGATCAGAACTGACAATTAGTTTTGAAATGTCTAAGTTACAATTAGAATAGGCTTTGAACAGTTGTTTGCTTACTTTAATATGATTTTTTTTTGAGATGGAGAGAGAAACACACAGAGAAAGAGAGAGGGAGAGCAAGTGCTCCCATCTGCTGATTCACTTTCCAAATGCACAAAAAAGCCAGGACTGTGTTTGGCCAAAGCCTGGAGACAGGAGCTCAGTCAAGGTTTCCCACATGGGCAGCAGGGACCCAAGTACTTGAGCCATTACCTGCTGCCTCCCAGGGTGCACATTTAGCAGAAAGCTGGAATCAGAAGTGAAACCAGGACACGGACCCAGGCACTATAATGGGGATGTGGCATCTTAATTGCTAGGCTAAATACCCACACCAGATTCTTATGTAATTTGAAGCTTAACCCTGAAAGTATTATTATTTTATATTTTAAGATTATGATTTACTTATATTCAAAAAATGAAGAGCAGTAACACAAGCATAATGCCTAGTTTTCCAGATGTTAAACAATATAAAGAGAAATATATTATGGTGTCTATAAATCATATTCAGATATATTCTGGGTCATAGTTTTAGAAGCAATACCATTAGCAGTGGAGACTAAATTAATTACACAGATTGACTTTTTTGCTGATATTTTTATCTTATTTGAATCTCATTTTTTAGCTTTGACTTCTGTCAAGATGCTGCAATGAAGAGACCTTCGGAAAATATTGGACAAGCCCTATTTGGAGAACAAATAATATCATCTCCTTATAAGGTTATTCAGCTGATATTATTAAATCTAATTTAAAAATGAATCTTTTTAAAATGACTTAAAACTGTAGCAAAGACTCTTTATTTTCAGAGACATAAGAGAAGAAACATGTAGAAACTGGTATTGCCAGAAGAATCCATTAAAGCATGCACTTTAAGCTATCTGTACTACTTAGTAATTCTGCCTAAAGTTGCTAACTTTCAAGTTTTATTTGGTTTATAAAGAATAAAAGTAAATTAATTCTCCTGCACATAATTTGGTAGAATGATATAAACATGAAATTGAACTCTCAGTGTCTCTTGATGTTGCCTTCAATATCTTAATAGATATGGGGACAGAATAAAGATGCTTTCATAAATGATTATGATTATGAAAACTTTTACCTTTACTCTTGTTTGTTCCCAGTTGTATTGAAGTCTAATTGAAGAGCTATGAACTTTTTTTTCAAATTTTGTTGAGATCCATCTGTGTTATTGTGTGTATCAATAGTTCATTCTTTTTTGTTCCTGAGTAGAATTCCATCATACAGATGGACAAGTTTAACTATTTATTTCAATTTAAGACAGACATTTGGATCCTTTACAACTTTTGGCTATTTTAAATAAAGCTGCTATGATCATTCATGTGGAGGTTTTTTGTGAAGATTGATTTCCATTTTTCTGGATAAGTATATGAGTGTGATGACTGGATCAAATAATATTTGTATGTTTAGTTTTGGAAGCTGCTAAACTGTTTTCCAAAGTTACTGTATCATTTTACATTCCCACTAGCAACAGTACTTGTAGTCCAGTTTCTCTATATCCTTGTCAGCACTTGATGTCACTATTTTAATTTTAACCAAGCTGATAGATGCATAGTGATATCTCATTGTAATTTTAATTTGCATTTTCCTAATGGTTAATGATGATGAACATATTTTCATGTGCTAAATTTCCATCTGTATATCTTCATCAGTGAAAATTCTCCCTTTTTGTGCATATTATACTATTTGTTCTTTTGTGGTTTTCAAACTTTTTAGTACATTCTCAATGTGAGTCTATTTTTGCAACAGCAGTTTGCCAATAGTTTCACTCAACATGTAGATTACATCTTCATCCTTTTTTGACACTCATTTATTTTATTTTTAATTTTATTTATATAAAGGGAATATTTTTAACATCTTAGCAATATCTTCACAAAGCCAGTTTTAAATTTTGATAAGGTTCAATGATTAACTTTTCCTTTTTTTAAAAGATTGATTTATTTATTTAAAAGTCAGGGTTACACAGAGAGAGGAGAGGCGGAGAGAGAGAGAGAGAGAGTGGAGAGAGAGGTCTTCCATCCCTTCCATCCGATGGTTCACTTCCCAATTGGCCACAATGACCAGAACTGCGCCGATCTGAAGCCAGGAGCCAGGAGTTTCTTCGGGGTCTTCCATGAGGGTTCAGGGGCCCAAGGGCTTGGGCCATCTTCTACTTTCCCAGGCCATACCACAATGCTGGATCGGAAGTGGAACAGCTGGGTCTCAAACTGGCGCCCATATAGGATGCTGGCACTTCAGGCCAGGGTGTTAACCCACTGCGCCACAGTGCCAGCCCCAACTTTTCCTTTTAAGGACTGCTTTTGGTATTAAGTTAAACATTTCACATAACTTTAGATACTAAAGTTTTTCTTATTATTCTTCTCTTTCCCCCCCAGAAATCATTTATTTAAGGTATACACAAACTTCATGCATTTCATAAATGCAACTTTGGGAACATAGTGATTCTTCCCACCGTATCTACCCTACCACCCTGTTTCCTCCTCCTTCTTCTATTCCCATTCTTATTTTTTACTAAGATCTATTTTCATTTTTACTTTATAGACATTAGATTAACTCTAAGTAAAGAGTTCAACAAATAGTATGGAAAAAAAACCTGTTCTTCTACAGTCAAGACAAGGGCTGTTCAAAGTCATCACATCTCAAAGTGTTAATTTCACTTCTATAGATTTCCTTTTAGGTTCTCTATTATCACAGATCAGGGAGAACATATGGTATTTGTCCTTTTAGGACTGGCTTATTTCACTAAGTATGATGTTTTTCAGTTTCATCCATTTTGTTGCAAATGACAGGATTTCATGGTGTCCATATCATAATTTCTTTATCTAGTCTTCAGTTGACTGACATTTGGGTTGATTCCATAAAAATATGGAATGCTTCATGAACTTTTGTGTCATCCTTGTGCAAGGGCCATGCTAATCTTCTCTGTGTCATTCTAATTTTAGCATATGTGCTGCCAAAATGAGCACTATACTTTCTTCTTTGTTTTATAATTTTTCGTTTTATTTTTAAGTATAAGATGTGAAGTTTAGGTCGAGATTATTATTATTATTATCATTTTGCCTATAGATGGCTAATTGCTTCAGCACTCTTTGTTCAAAAGACTATCCTTCTTCCATGAATTACTTTTACACCTTTGTGAAAAATGACTTGGGTATAGTTGTAAGGGTCTATTTCCAAATTCCTCTTGATCTGTTACATTGATTTATGTGTCTGACATTAGCTTTTTTTTTGATGATAAGAGTTGCACACAATAGCTTTATAGAGTATTGTTCTCACAGGAAAGTGGACTTTATTAAGAAAGTCTTTGTCTTGGACTGAAGAAACCTGACAGTGTTGTTCAACTTAGCTGCCAACAAAGATTTTTTTGGGTTAATATTTGTATGATTTTAAGACATGAAGTGCTATTCATGCTTTTTTTTTTCATTGTTAATTCTTGCTCATAATTTCCTGATTAATAACACTGACACTTTACATTCTTAATCCTCATAACTATACTTTATACATAAGATATTTCATATTAAAAAGTACTGAATACTTTATAATCCCATTTTTGGTAGCATAATTATTGAGAGACAAATTACATACCATATAATTTACCCACTTAAAGTTTCTAATTCAATACTTTTTAGTATATATTCATAGAGTTGTGCAAACATCACTACAATCAATTTTATTATCACTTTTTAAAATATTTATTTATTTATTTGAAAGTCAGAGTTACCCAGAGAGAAAGAGAGGCAGAGAGAGAGAGAGAGAGAGAGGTCTTCCATCCGATGGTTCACTCCCTAGTTGGCCGCAATGGCTGGAGCTGTGCCAATGTGAAGCCAGGAGCCAGGAGCCAGGAGCTTCTTCTAGGTCTCCCAAGTGGGTGCAGGGGCCCAAGGATTTGGGCCATCTTCTACTGCTTTCCCAGGCCATAGCAGAGAGCTGGATTGGAAGTGGAGCTACCAGACTTGAACCGGCGCCCATATGGGATGCTGGCACTGCAGGTGGCAGCTTTACCCATTATGCCACAGCACCAGCCCCTAAAAAGTGAAGAGTTTTATGTCAGGGTAGTTTTTATGAAGCTACAGTGGATTGTATATTTCACCTTGTATATTATGGAAGAAGACAAACTCTTCTGTTCAGTAGATGAAAGCATCACCCTCACGTGTGCATGCATGTGTCTAGAGTAATCATTTCAGTTATGGATTGAAGCTTGGAGGAGACAATGTTGAGAATGATGGCATACTGAAATCTTTGAAGACAGTTTTATATTAAAGATAAATTGGTCATTTTGTAACACTTGATTTATAAAGTGTAAACTAATATCTTATTATTTTAAATTTTTTCTTAACAGTTATCTTTTAATAAAACAGAAACATGTGTGAGTGTTTGTGTAAAAACTTACAATGCAATAAATAAAGAACAAAAGAAACACCTGAATTTCTTGAGGAACGGAATACGCCTGAATTATCAACATCATTGGTACGTTTGGCTTTGAAATAACACAACTTAATCTTTCGGTTCCTTTCAGAAGTGCTTCGCTAATTGATATTTCTATATTTTATGTGACTTGAATTTGATTAAAATATGAACTTAAATCTAAATAAGATGATGTTTGTATTGTTTGACATGAAATGCCTCTTAAATCTTCTATTTTAAAAATATTTATACCTAGGATTATTGATAGTATGCCAGTAACATGGTGTCGTGATACAAAAGATGGAAGAAAACACTGTACAAGAGGATTTCCCATTGGTTGTTTCATTACCAGAAGTGGCAAAGCAAATGATGATTGCATTAACAGGGTAAGTGTTGAGAACTTACTATAGAAATACAATAATGTTGCCTCACAATTCACTTTCTTTATTTTTATTTATTTATTTTTAAAAGATTCATTATTTATTTGAGAGGCATAATTACAGACAAAGAGAGGGAGAGACAGACAGAGAGGTCTTCCATCTGTTGGTTCACTCCCCAAACGGCCACAACAGCTTGAGCTGGACTGATCCAAAGCCAGGAGCCAGGAGCTTCTTCCAGGTCTCCCATGTGGGTTCAGGAGCCCCAGCATTTGGGCCATCTTCCACTGCTTTCCCAAACCATTAGCAGTGAGCTGGGTCAGAAGAGGAGCAGTTGGAACACAAACCAGCGCCCAAATGGGATGCCATTGCTGCAAGTGGAAGCTTAGCCTACTATGCCACAGTGCCAGCCCCACAATTCACTTTCTATTGTAGTTGTTCAACAAACATTAACAGACCCCTACCATCTTTTGAGTTTTGTGGTACAAGTTGGAGACACAAAGAGAAGGAACTATTGTCCCTGTCTTCTAGAAATCTACAGTCCTAAGTAGGAAGATAGAAATGTAAATAAATCAACACGATAAACTATATTATGATAGAAGACTATGGAATGAAGAGGATCCAATGATAGGGGAAAATTATTTGTCAGGCAAATAGGTGGGTGATTATTTTTAGAAGAGAAATTAGTTTTATCAAGAGGTTGAATACCTGAAACAGTGTACTGTCATTGGGGAACTGCAAGTGGTAGATTATGTCTATGGCATAGGTTTAGGGGGTTCAGCTAGAGATGAAGCTACACATGAGGTCAGTAGAAGCCAGGTGCTAGGGAAAAGAGGATTGAATTCCTGCTGTGTGCCAGGAGCAATGCTATATCACTCCACATGTAGTGACTGATCTAATCTTCAGAATGGCTCTCTTGCTAGGGTTACAGAGACTAAAGAAGGGAAATTACAACTTAGTACTATTATGAAAATAGTTTTGCCCTTGAGGGCTGCCTGAAATAGTCTCAGAGTTTACAGTCTTAGGGCTGGAGCAGAGGGTAGAAGGACTGAATGGACATGGAAGAGCCTAACCAGGACAGCTGGAATTTTCATTTATTTTCTATGTGGGGATTTCACATGCTTCACAATGGGGCTGTTAAGGAAGGATGAGGGAGGGTACAGGATGACTCCTAGGTTCTGGGCTGGTTGTCTACCTAATGGTAGTCTTAGTACTCTTCATTGTTTCTTTCCAGAGAAAAGGGCAGTTTTTCTTAAATTTCAGTGATGTACCACTGTGGTAATTTCTGCTGTATGTGAAATACCTGTATTGTTATTCATCTGTCTTAAAAAATACATTATTTAATTTAGTTTTATTTGGAAAGAAAACTATTATATCCCACAAATTAAAGGTTGAAAGTACTACTCACGTTTTTTATTCATTTAATTTCAAGTAAACTTAGTAAAGTGAAAATTATTTTCCCATCTCCTGCCTAATATCACCTCATATATCCCCAGTGGTATGCAGTCATCACAATGGAAACAGTGAGATAGGGAATATGGGAGGAGAAGCGGCAAACAACTGCTTAACTGATGGTTCTTTCAAAGCAAGGGTAAACTGGCAGAAGAGAAGAGTGAATAAAAAGGAGAAATTCTCATTAATATAGTCTGTGTTCAAGAACATATGTGAAAGTGGGTTGTTTGGGAACATTTAAGAACTGCATTTTTGAAGATCAGGTCTGTGAATAACAAAGAGACCAATAGGATGAATGGGCCCTAGCTGGCGAGAGTAGCACTAACTTCATTAACCTGTGTACATTGCCAATCTAAAATTACTGATGTTAAGTAGAAGCTTAAATAAAACTAGTAGTTGTCTTTTATTGTTATGCTTTTTATAAATAGAGGTATTCTTATGAATTTTATTTTTCTTTTAAGGGTATTTATTTTAGATGGATGTTGATGTCCTCTCCCTCCAGCCCCCACACACATAATGTTCCTTTTAATAGCAAAATTAGAGCTTCAGGCAAGTCTCAGAATAGCTGTCGATAGTGTTTGTAGTGTTATTGTTCATATTGGTGGGAATAATTAGACCAGCCATTTTCAAAGGTCTGGGGAGGGGGTCTCTGAGAATATTTGAGGGAGCCTGCAAGGTCAAAACTATTTTCATAATAGTACGGAGCTGTCATTTGCCTTCTTTACTCTCACTTTCATGTGCACAGTGGAATTTTCCAGAGGCTACATGAAATGTGATGATATCACTCTGAAGGCTAATGGAATGTATGCTTCTGTATTCTTGTTTTAAAAATATCTCATTTTAAATGCTAATGCAGTAGATATAGAGAGCTATAACCAATAAACAAAAGCTGTTTGTGGTCCTTACTCTTTTTTAAGGGTGAGGGTCCTGAGACTAAGACATTTGAGAATTGCTAAGTTAGATACTTAGAATAAAAGTGGTAAATGTGGCTGTCTGACTAAAAAAAAGAGGACTTTTTTTTTAAATTAATTGAACCTGCTCACCATTGTGAACATGATTTGATTCTAATAAAACTTACTGTACAGAGGGAATCACAATTTAAAAGTAATTCATTTCCTTTGTCTAACAAGTTAGAAGTCAAAGTTTTCATAATTTCTTTGAAGAACTACTAGAAAAAAGAATAGAAGAGTAGAGCAGAGGACTAGAGTAGAGAATATAGAAAAGGATCTAAATATTTTTGGAAATTTCAGTGTATCACAAAGGTGGCATTTCGTATCAGCAAAGACTTCAGTTAATGATGTTGGTATAAACAACTGTTTCTGGGGGAAAAAGAGGTGAGTCCTCGCCTTAATCCTTATGCTCAAATGAACTACATGTGATTTAACACTTCAAACATTAAGATGGGGGCTGGTGCTGTGGCATGGAAGACAGCCTGCGGTGCCGGCAACCCATGCGGGCGATGGTTAAAGTTCTGGCTGCTCCATTTCTGATCCAGCATCCTTGGTAGTGGTCTGGGAAAACAGTGTAAGATGGCCAAAGTACTTGGGCCCTTGCACCCACGTAGGAGACCCGGAAGAATCTCCTGGCTTCGAGTCAGCCCAGCTCCGGCTGTTGCAGCAATTTGAGGTATGAACCAGCAGACAAAATATCTCTCTCTATCTGTAACTGCCTCTCAAATAAATAAACAAAAATCTTTTAAAAAAGTAGATACTAAAAAAAAATTAAGATAGTAGAAGAAAACATGTAATTAAGAAGGAAGACACAAGCTCTAGAAAGTATGGAGGAAATGATTGTAAAACAAAAACCTTCTATACAGCAAGTAAACTAAATAGCAAAGTCCAAACATAACTGATACCACCCAGAAACACTATTTGTGATCTAGATGAGGAAGGGATGATATTTTTGTTTTCTTTTATCCATAGATCCCTCATACAAATCAGAAAAGAGCAAACAGCTCAATAGAAAAATAGGCAAAACCAGCAGTCTGTTTTGTGGAAAAATGAATTTAAATGGCCAAGAAACACGAACCAATCCTCAACCAGTTATAATTAAAGAGACAAGTTTGAGAAATAATATTGTTCATCTTTCAGATCCACAAACTTGTTAAACTAGTGCTGGCTAAACTGCAGGGAAACACACTGTGTAACAGTAAAATGAGGGGCTGGGGCTGTGGCGCCGCAGGTTAAACCTGCGGCTTGCAGCGCCAGCATTCCATATGGGCGTTGGTTCGAGTCCTGGCTGCTCCACTTCCAATCCAGATCTTTGCTATGGCCTGGGAAAGCAGTAGAAGATGGCCCAAATCCTTGGGCCCCTACACCCACGTGGGAGACCTGAGAGAAGCTCCTGGCTCCTGGCTTCGGATCAGCTCAGCTCTGGCCATTGTGGTCATTTGGGGAGTGAACCAGTGGATGGAAGACCTATTTCTCTCTCTGGCTCTACCTAGCTCTGTAACTCTGTCTTTCAAATAAGTAAAATAAATCTTTAAAAAAAAAAAAAAAAACAGTAACTTGATACTGTCTGCTTGGAAGACACTTGGCCATAGCTAGCAAAATTAAATAGACATGTAATACACAATAATATGCAAAATTTATAAAATAACACATAATAATGTAATAACAAAATTAAAACAATGCATTTCATTTGATCTTGTAACCTTACTAGGAATTCATACTGCAGGTAAACAAGGGATTGCCATAATGCACATCCCATGAATGTGTTTAGATGAGAGAGCTCATGGCTAGGCTTTGTTAGTGGAGGATCCACTGTGAACTGTAGGGAACTGTGATGTGTTAATAGGGCAGCATGTGTCAGACAATACATATCAGTAGGCGAAATCTGCTGGATTCTCTATATTGATTGGGTACCACTTTAACATATGAGGGTACTTAAAAATTTGTGAAAGATAGCATTAAAATATAAGTTTAGGAGTGGGCATTGGGCATGCAATTAATATGCCTCTTGGGACACTGGCATCCTATATGAGACTACTTGTGTTCAAGTCCTGGCTATTCTTCCACTTCCATCTTCCTGATAATGATAACCTTGGGAGGGAGCAGTGATGGCTCAAGTAATTGAGTCCCTGTCACCCATCTTTAAGAACTTGATTGGGTTTCAGGCTTTTGGTTTCAGCCTAGCCCCGCCTTGGCTATTGTGAGCATTTGGGAAGAGAACCAGTGGATGGAAGATATCTTTCTCTCCTCAAATGAAACAAAGTTCATGAAAAGTATAATTAAAATATGCATATTTAAAGGAAGATACATTTATTTCAGTGCAAAATTTTTGAAATCCATGCACAACTTTTTTATAATATGCATTTCCATTAATTTCATTTATGTAACATATAATACATATATAGCCCAATATGATCTCTACTTATGCATACTTGTTATTGATGATACTGTAGTAAATATTCTTTTACCTCTTTAAAGTGGGATTAAGAGTAGTATATATTACTTAAGATTGATATAAAGACACATAAGGCAATACTTGTAAAGTGCATGGTGTAGTGTTTAATACATAGTAAGCATTCAATAAATCTTTATTGTACAACCATCTGT